TGATAAACACTGGAAAATGCGTCGAAGTTGGATTGCGTAAGTACCATTTAGTTATAAAGTCATCGTGCCTGCCATTCATCACGTTCTCATCAATATTTCAGGAGGGGGGTTCTGGGTAAAAACTAGAGTTGGACATTACATAAAACTGACGGCAGGATACCGCGTGGACCAGAGTGACAGAGCGGGACTCTTGAGTTCTGTTCTTGAAATTTGTATATATTTTTTTCTTGCTATTATAGACCTCTTGCTTATTCACAGCTCCTTAATTACTTGCTTAATAGATGGGCATGTAATGTTTATTTTCAGTTATGTGTAATTCATGCAAGAAGTTTCTCAAAGACCAACATGATCAACAGCTCCCGCTGCAACCTGATGAGCCATGTACAGTATCTACTGAAAMGCTGGTTCCTGTTGATACCCATGAGGTACGAGATATCCACAAGATATATTGTTATCATCTGAGATAAAGGCTTTAGTGCKAAATTATTGGATTAGGTGTTTGGGTGGGATAGTGTATAGATAGTAGATATAGAATGGTGCTAATGATCGTAGTCTACTATCACCTTAAGGGTGTACTGACGTATCCGTTTCTAGACGACCTGGTTGRTATGCTAGCCGATGCTAGCCAATCGGAGAAGCGGGCGTGCGCGCGTATTCATGGCGGGAAAATTTTTACTTCCGGTGAAAAGGTTTTTGTTTACATAAAATGTACTGGTATCATGGTATCATTTAAAAAAATATAATCTTCGGTGCGAAACATCAAATGGACGTGTTTTTTCAATATTTACGTTCTTCACAGCCTCCTCTTCAGAACCAAGCATGGGTTTGGCGAAAAATTAAAAAATACGAAAGTTATTGGCATTTTTCGCTTATTTGTGGCATCTAAAAAATCGTAAAAAGCTTATTTGGCAGTCATTCTGAAAACGCATGCTTGGCTTTACGGACTTAAATCTAAAGATTAATTTCATCCATTTTAAATCGTTTAATATACTTTGCTTGATGAATAGCATTTTTTCGTATTAATGACGTCAGGCGATGCCGTCATACAATGACGTCAGGCGATGACGTCATACAATGACGTCATAGAATGTGTTATTTTTGTTTGGGAAGGCTTAATACTCAATACGAAAGCGATTTTACTTTTGTTTGTCATTTTGGAGAACTACTGAATTTCCCTAGCAACGGATATGTCAGTACACCCTTAAAGCGGCAATCATCGTCTTATTTTGTATGATTTGCATCTGATGTCTGCTTTATTCTTTGACAGGAAGGAATTTCGTCTATAATAATAATAATAATAAAAGGAATTTCGTCTCCCACCAGTACAGATTCCTTAGAGGAAATGTTTAGTAGACTAGAGGTTACATCACTGGACGATTCGACTTTCATGTCTCCAGACACCGAGAGRACCACATCAACACAAAGTGATAGTGATCTTACAGCACATCAAGAAAAAAAGAGACAAAATCTCAATAACTTTCTCAGTGCTTGCGGWATCCCTGCTATTGTAAAGATATGGCAAAATTGGAGCAGCTCCAGTGATAGAACTCGACAACGCTATACAACYAAATCGGCCAAGATAGTGTCTGCAATGCTAAAGACTGTAACTCCTGATGATGACAGTGCTGCTAGCCTATGGAAAAGTCTGGTTGCTTGTCCTGATATCTCACAGCTTCTTGGGACGGAAACATTGAGTCACTCCGAACAGACGTATTTGAAGTCACTTGCAGAAGCATACAACAATGCCCTAAGCTGGGAAACACGCAGACAGATCCTATCTGTTATGTCTGGTATAGCTTCATATAAGACACTGAGTGAATATATTCCAGGACTGACTCAGTATAGGTACACCACCGCCAATTTGCATCGCCTGCAATTTGGAACGGGAGCTGAAATCGCAAGAAAAACTACGCACTCGAGAATNGCTATACAACAAAATCGGCCAAGATAGTGTCTGCAATGCTAAAGACTGTAACTCCTGATGATGACAGTGCTGCTAGCCTATGGAAAAGTCTGGTTGCTTGTCCTGATATCTCACAYCTTCTTGGGACGGAAACATTGAGTCACTCCGAACAYACGTATTTGAAGTCACTTGCAGAAGCATACAACAATGCCCTAAGCTGGGAAACACGCAGACAGATCCTATCTGTTATGTCTGGTATAGCTTCATATAAGACACTGAGTGAATATATTCCAGGACTGACTCAGTATAGGTACACCACCGCCAATTTGCATCGCCTGCAATTTGGAACGGGAGCTGAAATCGCAAGAAAAACTACGCACTCGAGAATTTGTATAGACAAAACACAACTGGACCACTTCCTTGACTTTATCACAAGTCCGCACCTAGTCCAAGACCTTCCATTTGGCAAAAAAGACCTCAAGCTGTCTACAGGTGAAATCATAGAAGTGCCTAACGTCATACGATCTATGGTTCCACAAAGAATTGTCAAACAGTATCAGCAGTACTGCAGCGAAATTAACTTCAAACCGTTTAGCGAAAGAACAATGCTTAGAGTGCTCTCAGAGTGTAGTGCGTCTGTAAGGAAGTCTCTCCAGGGCTTAGACTATTTTGCAGCTGATGGTGCGCAGGCGTTCGACAACCTGATATCAATTGTTCGACAGCTGAGTGAGTTTGTTGCAGATAGTGACTGGGAAGCAGCCGCCATAGATTCCCTGAAGACTTCAAAGATGTACCTCAAAGGAGATTACAAGGTAAAGCGTATTCTCTAAATCATAAGATGACTTTTGTAAGGCTTTTATTTATTTAGATATTATACCTGTATATGTTGTAATTGAGAGATATTTTGTAATCTAGCCTCTTTCCAAAAAAGCCTTTTCACAGTAAACACACATTGATTTTCTTTAATCTTTATTATTTGTTATATTACACACAGGTTCACATATCAAACTCCTCTAAGGTTGCAGATCACTGCATTCCATACTCTTTAAATGAAAACGGTACTCAAGAAGATTACAGAAAGCCATGCGACCACACCCACGATGAGTGCTGCAATCAATGTAAAGCTCTTSATGCTGTTCTAAACGGCATTYACGAGAGAGTTAAGCAAGCGACATTTCCATCGGTAGATGACCACGACGAAGCTGTTTACCTTACAGAATCAGCCATAACTGCCATACAHAATTGGAAGAGCCACTTACTCAGATCTGCCAATCAAGACCAAGCCCGAACTGACGTCCTAGACTTATTGGACGAGAAGTCTGTCCTAATTGTAAACGACTGGGCTATGAAGTTCTTACCCAGGAAATACCGAGAGTCCCAGACAGATTGGTTTGGGAAACGCGGTATTTCCTGGCACATTTCTGTTGTGTATCGCAGGCTGAAAGGACAGATTCAATGGCAGGGGATGGTGCACATTATCCAGTCTTGCAGCCAGGGAAGTCCTGCCGTTGTCTACATAATGGAAAATGTCCTAAAGACCATCAAGAAAGACCACCCAGAAGTCAAAACAGCATATTTTCGCCAAGATAATGCTGYGTGTTACCACTCCAACGAGACAATTACATCATGCCCGGTAATCTCACAGTCAAGTGGAATCAATATCGCACGGATTGACTTTAGCGATCCACAAGGTGGCAAAGGTCCAGCAGATAGACTTGCCGCAACATGCAAAGCGCATATTAGAAGATATGTAAACGAAGGCAATGATGTGACCACTGCTGAACAGATGAAAGAAGCCATCACTTCATATGGAGGAGTGCAAGGAGTGAGAGTTGCAGCAATGGACAGTATAGATGAGACTCTTGAAATGACACAAAAGATACCAGGGATCAGCAAGCTAAACAACTTCGCATTTGAGACAAAGACCTGCACAACTGTAAGAACGTGGCGAGCGTACAGAATTGGCAAAGGCAAGCTTATCACTGTTGATAAGCCAGATAAAGGTACATGTACATATAGGTGCTTGTAAAAAAGTAGCAATAACATGCATAATGAAGAGCGTGAATAATTATTGATAATGATACTGATAATGTTGTCGAGAACCTTAAAAAAAGTTTACATAACAATGCATACTTTT